CCATTTCTGGGCTCTCTATTCTGTTCCATTGATCTATGTGTCTGTTTTTGTGCCAGTACCATGCTGTCTTGATGATCACAGCTTTGTAATATAGCTTGAAGTCAGCCATTGTGATGCCCCCAGCTTTAGTTTTCTTTTTCAACACTCCCCTGGCCATTCGGGGTCTTTTCTGGTTCCATACAAATTTTAGGAAGGTTTGTTCCAGCTCTTTGAAAAATGCCAATGTTATTTTAATAGGAATGGCATTGAAAGTGTAGATTGCTCTGGCAGCATAGACATTTTAACAATGTTTATTCTTCCAATCCATGACCATGGAATGTTTTTCCATCTCTTTGTGTCTTCCTCAATTTCTTTCATAAGTGTTCTGTAGTTTCTAGGGTATAGATCGTTTACCTCTTTGGTTAGGTTTATTCCTAGGTATCTTATGGTTTTTGGTGCTATTGTAAATGGAATTGATTCCCTAATTTCTCTTTCTACAGTTACATTGTTAGTGTATAGAAAAGCAACTGATTTCTGTGCATTGATTTTGTATCCTGCCACAGTACTGAATTGCTGTATGAGTTCTAGTAACTTTGGGGTGGAGTCTTTTGGGTTTTCCACAAAAAGTATCATGTCATCTGTGAAGAGAGAGAGTTTGAATTTTTGCCAATTTGAATACCTTTTATTTCTTTTTGTTGTCTGATTGCTGTTGCTACGACTTCTAGTACTATGTTGAACAATATTGGTGAGAGTGGGCATCCCTGTTGTGTTCCTGATCTTAAGGGAAAAGCTCTCAGCCTTTCCCCATTGAGAATGATATTCACTGTGGGTTTTTCATAGACGGTTTTTATGAAATTGAGGAGTGTTCCCTCTATCCCTACACTGTGAAGAGTTTTAATTAGGAAAGGATGCTGTATTTTGTCAAATGCTTTTTCTGCATCAATTGAGAGAATCATATGGTTCTTGTCTTTTCTTTTATTAATGTGCTCTATCACACTGATTGATTGGTGAATGTTGAACCACCCTTGCATCCCAGGAATAAATCCCATCTGGTCATGATGGATAATCCTTTTAATGTACTGTTGGATCCTATTGGCTAGGATCTTATTGAATATCTTGGCATCCATATTCATCAGGGATATTGGTCTGTAATTTTCCTTTTTGATAGGGTCTTTGCCTGGTTTTGGGATCAAAGTAATGCTGGATCATAGAATGAGTTTGGAAGTTTTCCTTCTGTTTCTATTTTTTGAAACAGCTTCAGTAGAATAGGTA